TACGCCCCTTATAAAAATGGTCTCTCCAGCCGTTCCCATAGCAATTAATTTTGCGAATGAACATGCTTATGAAGATGCGTAAATTTCAAGCTTGGTTATTCTTAAATATTCGCTTGAGAATGAAACAGGGCTTGATAGTTTAATTCAATTTAATTTTAATAATTATATTGAGGTTTTTGGCTCTTGTTTTTGAAACGTGAGAATGTAGCAAAGGAATCATATTTTTTTTTTTAAATAATTATAATCTAAGCTCTACTTCTGTAAGCAGCACTGTTTTTTAAAAATAAAAAAAAAATACAAAAGAACTCCGGATTATTTACCTAACGTGTTCTTTCCTATTTTTCTACATATATATATATATATATATATATATATATATATATAGCCGAGTTCGAATTCCAATCGAATCCATTACATTCATCTACGCGCTAATACCCTTGGGAAAGGTATGAATCCTCTCCCTCAAGCTATGGGTAAAATAGCAGGACAGACTGGGTTCTATAGCCTTGGATGTCAACTGGTCTAGGAGAAGGACAACTCTGAATTCAAAACCTGCGGAGGGTCGTTTGGGGACCTTGTGACACGTAGTGCACCAGGTCTCTGTATTCGTCCCTTCAAAAAGTGTGGATGGTCCTGTACGAGGCCTTCACCACTACAATCAAATCTCATGTGCCGGTGTCGGGCTGTCGGTTTCCTGGAAGCTGATCTGCTTGACCCTCATACGTCGAATCTCGACGGGAGAGTCGATTACATATATATTATATGTGTGTGTGTTTGTGTGTATGTAATTAAAATTTGTATTAATCGGGCCCCAATTTGTCCTCCTCATTCGCTATTTTTGTAATTGTGTCTAGTTTTGTTTAATTACGCCAACGTCCATCGTTTGAAAATGAGTTGGCTTAAAAGAGAATACTTCAAGGTATATATAGTGATGTCGTCTTTATATAAATCAGTTTTATTTTTTGTTGGTCCAAATCCATATATATATATATAATTTCTGTCTCATTTTTGGGACGAAAAGTTATCATTGTTTCCGCTATTTACATTCGGGCTATTGTCTTCATCTTTTCTTTTATCACGACGTTCCGGCAGTTAGTGACTCAGGCCTACCTAAGGCGTATATCGATCTGGATTATCTACGGAATTGGATTAAAGCGTTGGTTTGTGAATTTGGTGTCGTTGTGATTGCATATTCAATCCCTTAGTGTGTATTTGCACTCAGTGGAAACGGATGAGCAATAACTAAGCAGTGTTAAAAATAAAAAGTTTAGGATCTCCCTAGACATGAGCAGTGGAATGCGAACAGTCTAGATCAAATAAAGGGTTCTGTTCAGAATTCCCTTTAGGTTACCCAGATTGATATATACTTGAGGAATGCCGGAGAGCACAACGACTGAAACGTTGTGATAACAACAACAAAGAGGGATGAAACAATGAAATCAAGCATGGCTGATCATGTATGGAGGAAAAGGAGTAGTCATTAGTCCCTGGGGAATACAGTTAAAATACTGGACAAGCATGAACACTGGAGAGTTAGACGTTTGAAAGAAACAATGTATATGCTAGGATATAATGTGCCCGTTACTAGGCCTAGGATAGAAATAAATAGAACATGGGAAACATAATAATGAAAGAAAGACAAATGACAGCAGTATTAATCAAAACATAGGCAGCAATAGTCAAAACAGGACACGCAACAAGAGCAGCTGCAACCTAATCAGAAGGTAAGTTGAGTTTAAATCTCCACGTTCGCTACAGAAAATTATCCTACGGAATAATTATATCGTGGATAAAAGCGTTGGTTTGTGACCTTTAGTAATGATTATGTGTCATGTTGTGCGTTCTTGCACTCAGTGGAAATGGACAAGGAGTAACTGAAGAGTACTAAATAAGAATTAAATGATAACCCGGGAGATGAGCAGTGGAGCGAGAACAGATTATCCTCGAAGATTAACTAAAGAGTCAGTTCAGAATTTCTCTGTGAAAAAATTGTCCCAAATGTTAAAAGTGTAAATAACTTGTAATTAGGCCTGTGTTATGGAATTAACGGAATTACCAAAGGCATCCAGGACGAATTGGCAAAAACAAAGAGAAGGGTCCAAGGGTTTGTGAACAAATGCATGAAAAAACTCCTTGGCATCTTCTATTGGGAACACAAAACAAATGAGTTTGTACGTAAAAGGGTTGAAAGTTTTATGGGCCACCAGGAATCTCTTCCCGTCACTGTCAAAAGGAGAAAAAGGGCGTGGCTTGGAGAAGTTATATGGCACCGTTGAAGGTGAACGTAAGAGAGGAACGCCAGCGCAAAAATTGAAGTTCACCCAATACAATGTTTAAGAGCCACTCAAGGTAGAGGATGACATGAAGTGAAAACTGAGGATATGGAGGAAAGATAATGATTGCCTCTTAACTTGAAGAGGTTAAGATTGTAGCATTCAGGGAAGTATCAACATGGGAATCTGTTCCACAAAAGAGCATTTCTTGGAAAAATACAGTCCGTGTGGTACTTTCTTTATGGGGGGAAATGAGGGTGATTCAACTTCATATAAGTCTTAACTGTAAAAGGTCTGCTGGAACTATATAATAGAACTCATCTGAACATTTGCCCGGTGGCTAGGATCAAAGTGTAGTATCTGCGCTTTGTGAGCTGCCGGGTCGGGTGTCTGTCGAACTCTCTGCTTGCAGAGAGGAACCCGAACGAAGCTCCGCCGAAGGGTAGGGTTTCGTTGGGGGAGGTTGACGGAACTGGCCCGCCTCGGCGGGTTTCGATGGTTATTTATTTTTGGCTGGGCCTACGGACTCAGAGATACCCACATTAAAAAGGCCTTGTGCCACATTCGATCCCCGTGGGTGGATTGATAAATACCATCTGAACATTTGCCATGGAAATAGCAGATAAAGCAGCAGCTTCTTGTTAGAACCTGTTTGAAATGAACACCCTTCTTACCAACGGAACACGAACGAAATGAGGATTTATATATGTCATGGCGGATCCTAGCTGTAGATTTCTGAACTGAGGGACCAGGTGAATGTAGCTTGTAAGAACATTCGACATAGAAATAGAGATGGGGCAGCTTTTCTCCGAGAAATGACATTCCTAATTTTTCAAGATAAATGTCGTTTAACAGATATATCTTGATGTGTGTTTTATTCTCATCATTAACAGTCACAGTCTATTAAAGGACAAATCAAATAAAACTGATATACAAACACAGATATTTTTTTTGCAATGATTTTATTTATTTTGACAATGTTAAAATTAAACAGAAGATGTCGGATGCTTCCTTCATTGCTACAATGTTAATCTATACAAGTCTAGAGTTTTATCTTCCCTATATATCCTCATATATATATAACTTTGCTCCTTATCTATTACCCTGTAACTCTCTATCTCGAGTTGCTCTTGCGTCTTGTACAGGGTGAACATTATTGTAAAAAATTTTAGAAAAACAATTCATCCCCCTCAAGACCTTGTAAAGGCTTTTGAGCTTTACTAATTCTGAAAACAATCAATTGGACAACTCCTCCTAAATGTGGCTACAATATTTTTTTTTCCTCTGATCTGACTCTTGTAAAGATAAAGCATTGTATGATGATTCGGGTACTTTCTAGAACGGTATAAGAAGCCGACATCTTTAGTGATGGATCGTATACGTGAGTTTCACGTGAGATCTGCAATGAATTCGAGTCTCAACTGACGCCCAAAGCAAGGAGCCTCTTTGAGAATATAACTATTTATTGTGAGTGGTGCGAATTCGTCTCCGATGGTCAAAAGGAGATATTGAACAATGCAAGGCATTTTTCCCTTATTTGACAGTTAGAGCTAAAGCAGACAAGAGATCGGTAGCAGTTTTCTTTCTTTTTTTTTTTTTTTTTTTTTTTTTTCCGGTACACATACACTGTGGTAGCAAGATTTTCGGGGGTGTACTCATATACTGTGTTAGTACTGAAATGAATCTTATCACTGTATAAAGTTAAAACACAAATAGCTTTGTTGCGGACTGGTGATTGTGTTTTAATTGATCAGAAGGAATTTTGAGGCCGTGTTCTACAACATTCGTCCACAACAATTATTTAGAACAAATACTTGGAACAAATCATGCAAATAAAATTGAAAACAAGACAAAAGTTGAATGCATAACAATAATATCAATTTATATACAATTTAATATACTGTGGGTTTAAGATTTGATGGATAAATGAAGATTAGTGTATTTAATTATGTATTGTGTTGTTGTGAATGTTTGGGTGCGTTTGCAGGTATTGATTAGATTTGTTCACAGAATTAAACTGTTCGTTTGATCAACGTACAAAAATGTTCGGTGTTGATGTTGAATTGTTAGTGTATGTACGTAAGTGTGTTTATACAAATATTCAAAGTTGTTCAGAGTTGCGTACCTTTATCTGCTTAAGAAAAATAAATTGTTAGTTTCTGATACTTGTTATGTTGTGAGAAATATCACTTTGTAAGTATAGCTAGTGAAGTTTGAGAAATTGTTCTAGAGAGAGATAGAGTGTGTTTGTGGATTGTTGAGTCAGAGAATATTTTTTTTTGCGCGGCAAAGTCTGAGTTTTTGACTGGCGTGGAGGTGATGGGCATCTCTCTAGGTGTGGAGGTCTGACTCCTGAATTGGATTGAAATTCGTCCTTTTATTTAGTTTGGGAAACAAAAATAGGCTCCCAGTGGCCTGGCGGGAAAACAGATTTTTTTGACCATGGATACACATTCTAGGGTCGTCTCGACCAATAACAAACCGAGTTTCACAATGTGTGGTGTTGATTGGTCAAAGCTAATTCTTATAGAAGAGTCTATTTTTAACGGGGGTGAGTAGACAAACATTGACGATTCTATAGGTTCGTATGGTTCCACGTTATAGAATTTTGCGAACAGTTAAATGCTGTCTGAAGGAGAACTTTTTCCAAAGACTATAGAAGTGATCAGTTGTATGCCCAGTTTTGCAAAAATGCGAGTGAGCTCGCCTCCGCGTTTTTTTTCAGGCTTGTGGCAATATCACGTTTAAACACCGGTTCCCTTACGATCACCGAAGTTAAGCAACGTCGAGTATGGTCAGTACCTATATGGGTGACCGCTTCAGAATACCAGGTGATGTAAGCTTTGATGTGCAGTGGCTGGGAGAATCAAGTTTCAATACCAGTTGGGTTCGTAATATTTATTTACGCGCAAAATACACTTGAGAAAGGTATGAATCCACCTTTTCTCTCCCCAGATATGGGTTAAGTAGTAAGAATTGTATCAGTAAATTATGATTATATCAAAAAGATTTTACAATGTAAAATATTTTCCGGCTTTTTTTTTATTCGTGAATTAATTTCCTTTATTTGTTTATTTACTTATTTCTTAATGTCTTTCATTTTTGTCGTTTTTACTTTTCTTTCTATCTTTTTCTTTCTTTCCTTAATTGTTTTGTTTTCTTTCTTCCTTTGTCTTATTTATTTTCTTTCTGTTTTTTCTGTCTACTGCTGGTTACGTGTGCCTCCAAAGAAAAGCCACCCCTAAAGATTATAATGAATATTTACAAACTAAAAATCTTTTATTGAAGCTTTTATTGTAGTTTTAATTTGTGGCTAATAAATTAAGTTCAATATCTCTAATAAGCAAAATAATTTGATGTATTTCAAAACGAATTTCAATTTGATTGAAATGATGTTTTTTTTTTTTTAATCGCTATGAATCGGTGATTTTAGCCATATATTTTTAATCATTTCACCCGAAGCAAGGCAATAAATCCACTAAAACAAAAATATGAAAAAATGTGAAAAAGAAAAAACATTATTAAGAGCGAGAAAATAAAAATTGTCGAATCAAGATAACGATTGACATTGCATTTAAATAATTGAAGATCAAAGTTGGGTAGAAACGCAAGTAACCAAAACAAAGTCCTACAAGAGAGAAGTGCGAGAAACAAAACTGTTATCATAAAACTTACGCTTACATCTAGTCATTTCAATAGTAAAATGATGAGAATTTTTTCAAAATGTGATTAAATTCAAAGTTCTTCAGAACAATTACTATGAAAGTATTTATAGAATAGGCATGTCACGGCCTATAACATTGCAGATAATTCTTTGGATTTTATCAAGAATCTCTGAATATGTACCTGGGTCATCAGACAATATATGACAGAAATATGCAAAGCATCAATGAATGCTAGACTTATTAATATTTAAAATAAACTCCGGAGAGAAAAATTGTTTAGCACGACACAGTGAACCAGCTTTCTTACAAGCTCACCTAGCAATTGATTCATGTCAGTAGAAAATGTGAGTTTGAGAAGGCGCTAACGAGTCACTCTCATGGAGGTTAGCATCAGCCATGAAGACAGAAATGGGTCTCTCAGCTGAATGATTGAGAGCAACCTCATTTTAGGTGCATTAAATTTAAAAAAAAAACCTATTCTTTGCTGGGGTTAACAGATTGTAGCTAATTTATTTTAGATCAGATGCCAATTAAATATCAAATTGATCAGATTTAGTATTAAGACAGTAGTCAATAGTGTCATCAGTATAGACACCGATATGAGAACTGTCACCATCAGGAATGTCTTTGATGAAAATTACGAACAACGTAGGTCCAAGGAGGTCCAAGGAGGTGTGTGTGGGGGGGGGAACACCTGTATTAATGCAAGATCTCCTAGAGGAGTTGGCCGTTCAGGACAACTTTCCTTTAGTGATTTCATAAGAAAGACTAAGTCCGTCCAAAAATTCGTCCAGAAATACTGTATAACTTTTCAACTTGATTGGTATTTCAATCCTTGTCAAATGCTTTTGAGATGTGTGCAAAACAACAGACCGAGATTCACTATTCTTATCTAAAGCTTGATTCTTTCAGCAATAATCTTTAATACATCAGCAGTTGACCTAGAGAAGCGAAAGACATACTACTTACCAGAAATTAGACAAAAATGTGAGATTGCTAACCAATTCCGAGTTGATTAGGGATTCTAGAACATTGCCAAGAAGAGATAGAGTATTACTAGGCAGATAGTTACAATGATCAAACGGCTCACCTGAATTCGTAAAGACTGGAAGTACAGTTCTTAAAGGCTGGGACTACAGAAGAAGAATTCTGATAAGCCAGAAAGCAAAAAGCAGCCAGATGTTAATTGCAGAGTTTAAATATCTACAATTCTTTCAGCACAACATAATTCTCTTTATTATAAAGTCTTTGAAACATAAAACATACTTTTCTGAAACTTTATTTGACGAGAATTACCTGAATTAAAATTTATTTGACGAGAATTACCTGAATTAAAATTTAATCAATCTAATGTGAAACAAATATTATTTACTTTTATTATAAAATATTGCAGAAAAACATTTTTAAAAATCTAAGTGAATATTTTATGAGGTATTGACTGCTCTATTGACAGGGAAATTTACTTTTTCTACGGGGAACATAACTGTAAAAATTACTTGAATATAACGTGAACGGAATTTTATATAATTTATTAACTACCCAATAATCTTTAAAATGTATGGAAATATTTGAAGTAATCTAACGTTTGCATATTTTAACTTCAAATTTATTGTAGTTACTGCTCTTATTTTTTTTTATAATGTCGTATATGGACGTCCATATTTACAAAAAATGGCATGTTAATATACACACGAAAAAAATTGTTTTTTTGAAAATGCTTGCGATCGCTGAATTGTAATATTTTTTTCCATTTATGATTAGTAAATATATTTTTTTTGAGTGGGGGGTCATTTTTTTTTTTTTTGGTTATCTTTCCTTCTTTCTTTCCAAGTTATTGAATTTTTTTTTTCTTTCTATGTCAAATTTATGTCTTATTCTTTCCTGTAATTTGAACTGATAATTTAGTTTTCTTTCTGAAATTTGTTTTCTTTTCTTTTTTGCAAAATATAAAGTTAGATGAAGTGAAGTTAATAATGACACATCAAGAAAGTTTCCTTCATCCATCGCTCGTGTCATTTCCCTAGACCTTCACTAGAGCCTCTGTTTGAAATATTGTTTTTGAATCTTCTACAGTTTGTCAGGAAAAGTACAAAAGAAACATTAGCGTCAACAAGAAAGGCATCAACTCCAAGACATACAGAGAAACTAATGAGAATGTCTTAAACAAAAATATCACAAGTCTTAGAGGCTAATTGTATACGTTTTTTTTCTTTTCAGGAAAAAAAGAAAGGAAAGAGAAATGGTAACGGAATAAGATCATGAACAAAAGAAAAAGAAAAAATATAAATAGAGAAAAACGGAAAGAACAGAATTATAAAAGATTAAGAAAGAAAGAAAGAAAGAAAGAAAGAAAGAAAGAAATTATGGCGGAATAAGTAGCAAAGAAAGAAAGAAAGAAAGAAAAAAGAAAGAAAGAAAGGAAAAAGAAAGAAAGAAAGAAAGAAAAATTAAGCCGGAAGAAGTAGCGGAAAGAAAGAAAGAAAGAAAGAAAGAAAGAAAGAAAGAAAGAAAGAAAGAAAGAAATTATGGTGGAATAAGAAGCAAAGAAAGAAAGAAAGAAAGAAAGAAAGAAAGAAAGAAAGAAATTATGGTGGAATAAGTAGCAAAAAGAAAGAAAAGAAAAGAAAGAAAGAAAAGAAAGAAAGAAAGAAAGAAAGAAAAAAAGAAAGAAAGAAATTATGGCGGAATAAGTATCTAAGAAAGAAAGAAAGAAAGAAAGAAAAAAAAAAAGAAAGAAAGAAAGAAATTATGGTGGAATAAGTAAAAGAAAGAAAGAAAAAAGAAAGAAAGAAAGAAATTATGAATAAGAAAAAGAAAGAAAAAGAAAAGAAAGAAGAAAGAAAGAAAAGAAAGAAATAAAGAAATTAAAATAAGAATAGAAAGAAAGAAAGAAAGAAAAGAAAAAGAAAGAAAAAAAGAAAGAAAAAAAAAAAGAAAGAAAAATGGCGGAATAAGATCTAAGAAAGAAAGAAAAAAGAAAAAAGAAAGAAAAAATTATGCCGGAATAAGTAGCAAGAAAGAAAGAAAGAAAGAAAGAAAAAAAGAAAGAAAGAAAAAAGAAAGAAAAAAAAGAAAGAAAAGAAATAATGGTGGAATAAGTATCTAAGAAAAAGAAAGAAAGAAAGAAAGAAAGAAAAAAAAGAAAGAAAGAAAGAAATAATGGCGGAATAAGTAGCAACGAAAGAAAGAAAGAAAGAAAGAAAGAAAGAAAGAAAGAAAGAAAGAAAGAAATTATGGCGGAAGAAGTAACGGAAAGAAAGAAAGAAAGAAAGAAAGAAAGAAAGCAATTATGACGGAATAAGTAGCGGAAGGAAAGGAAAATAAATAAATAAATGAAGAACAAGAGAGAAAGCAAAAAAAAAAGGGGGTAGGTTTTCCCAGATTGCTTAAATTTTCCAAGCAAAGAGAGAAACAGATAAAGAAAGAAAGAATGAAAAGTTGATGTCGGTTTCTAATCCCGCCAAAGGAGATGTTAGAAAGATTTTTCCAGAAATACGGTAGACATCGTGCCAGTAGGCGAATATCAATTTCCCTGTTATTCTATAAGAACAGAATATTAATGTTTATTGATTTGTTCTCTATATTAATATAGACGACTTGTATTTTTCTCTTTTTTTTTTATTCGAGGTGATTATTTGTTAATGTTGTTTTTTATCATGTTATCTCGATTCCGGCAATATACATTTCATGTAATAACACACACACACACACACACACACATATATATATATATATATATATATATATATATATATATATATATATATATATATATATAGTTAGTTAGTTAGTTAGTTAATTAGTTGAAGAAATATATTCTATTTGTGTTGTATTAAAATTTCTGATAAAACATCTTATTTTCTCATCAATGATACAATTAGGGAATTTATTATGAATAAGAGTTTGTTTTATATCATATTTTAGTTCTCTGTAGAACATCTGTTTTTTTGGATGGATTAATTTTTGCAATGTTTATTATTTTTTTATAATTTCTATTTTATAGTAATTTGGACATTCACTCTTATAGCTAAGTTAGAAATAAATTAAAATTAATTATATACTAGACTAAATCTAGTATATCTAATTCATTCATTCGTAACAACTCTTCCCCACCAACAAATGTGTTGCAGGAAACGAAATATATAAATTTAAATGTCCTCTGGGAGATTGTATCTCCAAAGGCAAAAATTAATATTTACGCTGACCACACTACGACTACGTTGCCTCGACGACTGAGTTTTCATTTAAATGATGCGTCAAACATATCTAAAGATTTAGAACAGCATACCTGGCCCCTATTCGGAATTCAGAAAAATCCCAGTTGAAAATACATATATTTTTCATGAAAATAATAGTCATAAACTAAAAATTCTTGAAGCTATCTGTATTAAGAAATTGAAACCAAACCTTAATAAAATTATAAATTATAAATACTGCACAAATCTTTTTTGTGACGTCAGCAAGCACTCTGTTGACACTTTTGTGATGTCAACAAATACTTGTTGTCACTTTTGCAATGCTCGTCGCAGTAGAGACTTTGTAATCGCCGATAAAACTATAGTACGCTGTTGAACAATGCTGGTGTCAGACGCCTTCGAATAATCTCGAAATAATAGTAATTTTTCGATAATACTCGCTGGATACTAGCGATCCGAATAGAGAAATTGTATAGTAAACAGAATGGAGAATAGCGTTCTATATAGCAATAGAGGATAGAATCGAAATAGCGATTAGAATAGTAACGGAGATTAAAATATAAATAACCATCATTTAGACGTCACGCGACTTCCTATACATGCGTTTTCTCTATGGTCACATGGCCTACTCAATTGAATAATGGTATAGCCTGTGTTTGCTCACCGACGATCTATGTTCAAACTCAACTGCCATCAGCGACACTTTGTTCTCATATAACACTTTTAAAATGTTTACAGGACATAGCTTAAAATATCGAGGTTTGCACTAATAGTTTTAATACTTATTTATTAAAAGCTCTCGGCAACTCACTCTTAGTTACCTCCTCTGAAGCTTTTGTCAAGACAATCACAGTACTCACTCAGTGTTCTTCACTTCATGATTAAAAAAAAAAATTAACCTTCAGATGAACAAAGCAATTTTATTTTTGAAAATGATGAACACTGCAAAATTTTTCTTGAAATAAACAACACCCTGATGATGGCATTGTGTAACGTCGAAAGTAATCGGAATAAAATAATACGTAGCAACACGGTGACATTTCTCTCTTGCTTTAATAATGAAACCCAAAAACTTGTCCGTGAATATAAAATAATCGAATTGAAAATAAGTAGACAAAACTTGTTTAAATTATTCAATGAAACATGTCTCATAATATATATATATATATATATATATATATATATATATATATATATATATATAAATATATATATATATATAATGAGACATTAAAAAATAACTCACCCCACTCCATCCTATGACCTTATTTTTCTATTTTTCTGACTTGTAATTGGTTAATCGTGATATATTTTTAATTCTGACCTCATGCGCCACCTTTAACTTTCGGAAAAGAGGTGATGATTTGTTTTTAAATTTCCCTAAAAAAGCATTTTTATCACAAGTTACAAACAATTGTCTGAGGAAGTCCAATCATAGGATTGAAACATGAAAGCTTTTGTGTAGCGATTTATAAATGTTTTTATTGTAATCTCTTATAATAAAAATTATAATATATATATATATATATATATATATATATATATATATATATATATATATATATATATATTAGTGTCCACTGTAATAAGATTTGAAGTAATGGAAATTTTGGATGAAAACAAATCCAAGAAATTTGTTAGTTTACGTTACGGTTACGAAACTGGACAGATATAGGGAGGTGTAGTTTACTTAAAATGTAAAATAGGGCCTATTCTTATAGTGAGAAACTTCGTAGGTAAAGGGTAAATCAAACCTGGTAAATCGCTTGTTTCTCAACTAAAGATGGTCACATGTTCAATTCTTGCCGAAGTGCATGTTTTCTTCATTGAGATTTTATCGAAAGAACTGTAAACATAAAAAATGGCGGGTATATCAAATAAGAGCATCCAATCTAACGGTCGGAGTAATGAAAATGTTGAATTGTAAACAAATCCATTGCTTCTTTAGATATATATATATATATTTTTTCAAAAACAGTGTATTTTACATATGTTGAATTATAAACAAATCCATTGCTTCTTTAGAATATATATATATATTTTCAAAAACAGTGTATTTTACATATGTATACACTAAATTAAATTTAGTATAGTAGAAAACAGTATTGACATATTATGGATATTCCTTTAAAATAATATATATATATATATATATATATATATATATATATATATATATATATATATAGTGATTTTCTAAGCACAGCTTAGAAGTGGCACAAGGTCGAACGTATGGGGCACCCAGTGCGGATCGAACTCACTCTTAATTGATCTAGCAAGACCAGCTTTCTAACCATTACACCACGTTGAGGTGCACACATATGTGTGTGTGTGTGTGTGTGTGTGTGTGTGTGTGTTCGCGTGCGTGCGTGCTGCGCTAAACAAGATACATCTTTAAGTAAAAAGAGAACAGGTTAAAATGGTTTTTATGTTAGCCCCACTATGTCTTCTCAACTGAACAATGGTGAGAGGAAAAATATCATTCAGGCCTTCAGTAATCATACCAACATTCATACTCTGGCTTCCATTTTCAAAGTCCTTTCAAGAACTTCCAAGAATAATTTTTAAAAAAGCCTAAACCGTAGAGAGGAAAACTGGATCAGGAGGTCAAGACAGCAAGTTGGATCATTAATTCATCTAACAGCTAAATACATTCTTATTGTTCATACTAGAGTCCGATAGTGTTGTAAATATCTCCGAGAAATCCATTAAGATATCATTAATCATTTCTAAAATACAACGATTCAAAGCTTAATCTAACAATTCGTCAATTTTTGCTGCTACGCGATACAAGGACCTGAAGATCGAGATTAATAGGATGTGGGGAAGAGTGACTGAGGCTGTACCAATAGTAATCCGATTTCTGGGCCTCGTGAGAAAAGAAATGGACAGTTTTACTAACAGTGTCCCAGGTAACATCAACATGCAAGTTGCCCAGAAGATCGCCCTACTAGGAATATCCCATATGCTAAGAAAATTGCTATCAATTAAATGACAATTCTCCTATAGGGCCTAACAATAGGATACAAAGCAGGAAATATAATATAAACAAATGAGAATGAGAATAATAATGATAATGATAAAATCAAAGCCACTAAGACAGGCTATGAGTACCAAGCAGACACAGATACACAAAATAATGTTGTAACTATCCTCTGGGATATTCCAATTGAAACAGACTGGAAATTAAATTCACCTGACCTGATATTAACATAAAAGACAAGAAAATTCAGGTAGTGTATGCTTATCGACATAGCAGTATCATCTGAGAGAAACACCTCCATGAAAATTATCTACAAATTTTCCAGATACAAGCTCCTTGAGATCGAGATTAAGAGGATGTGAGAATAACTTGGTAGGTAATGTGACCATAGCAGAAATCGAAATATAATAATAATAATAATAATAATAATAATAATAATAATAATAATAATAATAAATATTGTGTTAGCCCAAATGCAGTTTCTGTGATAAATATCCAGAAAGAATTGATTATCT